ACCCAAAGTTCAAGGGGGTTTTGTAAAATTAACCCTAAACCATTCAAGACAATGATCTGAGCTTTGTAGCCAGTGATTACGAGAATGCCAATTAAAGATGCATCTTCTATTTTCATGCCACAATATATAATTCAAACTTTACAGAAGAAACAGGCAACAACATATAATGAAAAAAAAGTATTCATCTACCCATTAGTACCTTATATTGATGCAAGATGCAAGGATATTACAAATGTTCTTTGAAATTTTTGAATCAAACTATAAATCTGTCCTAGTGCTTTTTGAACACGCATCTCAATATGAACTTCTGACCGTGTGTATTCTCATGTAGTTCTCCATTTCCACTTTACCCTTTTATACTAAGCAATTCAAAGTTGTTAAGTTAAGTATTGGGTATTGGGTTAATGGGCTGTTACCCGTTAACCTTAACCCTATTTGTATGGCTATATATATCTCTCTTGTTATTCTCAATAAACAACAATTAAGGTTTTCTCTATTCACTACATGGTATCAGAGCACCAAACCCTAGCCGTCACAAATCTTCATTCAAAAACCCTAGCCGCCGCCCGCTGCTACAGTACCACCGCCGCTGCTACAGTACCACCGCCCGCTGCTACAATACCACCGCCCGCTGCTACAATACCACCGGTGCTACAGTGTCGTGCTCAGTGCCCCCTACAACATGTTACCTATTCCCTCGACATCTCAATCTTCGAACTGATGAGAGGACGATTGTATCCCTCGACATTTCAGTCATAGAACTGATGAGAGGAAGAGTGTCTATCTCACGTTGTTGAGATATTTCACTTTTATTCTTGTTTCCTTCGAGACACAAGAATATAAAAAATTGAGCCTTTGTGCAAACAAAAGCCAGGGCTCTCTCCCTCAGGTGATCTCGCCTACATAGCGTGAGGGCATGATTATCTACCACTCTACCTCTAATCCTGCTCCTGATCTGCTCTTAGTTTATGTTTCAAGAACAGATCTCTACTACTAATCTGCCTATTTGACTACTATTTGTCTCCTATTGTTGCTCAAAAATAAAAATGACTACTACTTCGATGTCGGACATCTCCTCCTCTACTACTCTTTCTATTGTTGCTGGTGAGACCTCTGCGCCCAATGTAGTCTTGGGGACTACTATTAAAGTGAATAGTGCAAACTATCTGCTCTGGCACAAGCTTTCCGCATCTTCGAGGCAAAGGTCGCGGTCGTGGTCGTGACCGTGATTCAGGGGGAGGACATGGCTCCTTTGGTGGGAGGCAAGGTGAATCTGATAATGGCTCATGATAGTGTGGTCATTGTGGGAGAACCAATCATATTTCTGAGAAGTGCTGGGAGAAGTTTGGTCGTCCTCAGTGGGCCCAGGTAGCTGATACAAAGTCGACTAACTCATATATTTCTGCTACTACTTCTGGTGGTCCAGCTGTTACTGCTCCTACTGTTCAGATTTCTTAGGCAGATTATGAGAGGTTGTGCCAGCTAGAACTCTCTCAGAACATTTATTCTGCTACTCATGCATCCTCTTCAGGTATGGATGCTTACATAGCTTCTTCTCACAAACCCTGGGTACTAGATTCTGGAGCCTCATCTCATATGACAGGTATAAAGCATCACTTTGTATCTTTACATCTTTCTGATAAGTTTCCTTCTATCTGCATTGCTGATGGTACTCTTTCTCCAGTTCGTGGTGATGGAGTAGTTCATGCTACTTCCTCTTTAAAACTAATTGATGTGTTATATGTTCCCAAATTCCCTGTTAGCCTATTATCCATTAGCAAGTTTACAAAACAAAATAATTGTAAAGACACATTCTTTCCATCTTATTGTGTTTTTCAGGACCTAGCAACCGGGATGAAGATTGGTTCGGGGCATGAGAGAGGAGGTATGTACTATTTGGACGACAGTGTGCCAGAAGCTGGCCTTGTTGCATCACAGTCTGACTCCACTTTATTGTGGCACTGGCGTCTGGGTCATCCTTCACTACAAAAACTTAGATCGGTAGTTCTATTTCCTCTTTAGGTTGTGAGTCGTGTGAACTGGGTAAGCACCATCGTGCTACTTTTCAGAGTCGAAGTCGATAAACGTAGTAGTTTTGCTTTTGAGTTGCCAGTTCTCTACTTCTGTTCGTATTCTTCGTACTGATAATGCTTTGGAATATATGAAAAGTGATGTTTCAAAATTTTATGCTCTTAATGGCATTATTCATCAGACTTCTTGCTCTCACACTTCACAACAAAATGGAGTTGCTGAAAGGAAGCATAGGCATATTCTAGATGTTGCTAGAACACTGATGATACATATGAATATTCTAAAGTATTTGTGGTCTGATGTTGTTCTCACTGCAAATTATTTGATTAATCGCATGCCTTCCTCTGTCCTTGATGGTTTAATACCATTCAATTGTCTTTATCCCGATAAAAAACAATTCTCTGTGATTCCCCGTGTCTTTGGTTCTACGTGTTTTGTTCAGGATTTAACTGCTGGTTTGGATAAGTTGTCATCTAGATCCATCAAATGTGTTTTTGTTGGATACTCTCGTACTCAAAAAGGGTATAGGTGTTATCATCCGTCCACCAGGAAATATTTTGTGTCTGTTGATGTTACCTTTTTTGAGTATGTCCCATAATTTTCTTCTGGTTCCACTACTATTGGCTGTCCACAGGTACCACTACCTTCTTCTGCACCTACTACTATTCCATTACTTGCTCCTGTAGCTCCTGCACCGAAGCCTCTATTGACATACTCTCGCCGCCCAAAAGTACATGCCCCTGAATCTGCTACTGCTGAACCTTCATCTCCAGATGTCGGTCCATCTCATGTTGAGACCTCTATTCCTTCTGACTTGGATATCTCTATTGCTCTTCGAAAAGGTAAACGGTCTTGCCCGAAATATCCTATTTCTCTTTTTGTCTCTTATGACCGTCTCAACCCATCTTTTCGTCAGTTTGCCTTGTCCTTATCCGCTGTATCTATACCTAGGTCATATGAGGAAGCTATGTTAGTACCAGCTTGGAAGCATGCCATGGATGAGGAAATGAATGCACTACTTTCTAGAGGGACTTGGAACTTGGTTTCTCTTCCTACTGGAGCGACTGTGGTTGGTTGCAGATGGGTGTATACCCTGAAATATCGCCCCAATGGGTCTGTTGACCGTTATAAAGCTCGCCTGGTTGCTAAAGGTTATACCCAGACATATGGCGTCGACTATTTTGAAACATTTTCTCCCGTTGCTCGTCTCAACTCCATCAGAATTCTTTTCTCTCAGGCTGTTAATATGGATTGGGCGATGCACCAACTAGATGTGAAGAATGCTTTCCTTTATAGTGATTTGGACGAGGAGATTTATATGGAGCAACCTTCTGGGTATGTTGCTCAGGGGGAGAATATTATCTGCAGGCTGAGAAAGGCCATCTATGGGTTAATGCAGAGTCCTCGAGCTTGGTTTGAGAAGTTCAGCAATGTTATTTCTAATGTTGGTTTCCAACGTTGTCAGTCTGATCACTCTGTCTTTCTTCGATGCACAACAACTGGTTTGGTTATTTTAGCCGTATATGTTGATGATATTCTGCTGACTGGGAGTGACTCTATTGCCTTAGCTGAGACTAAGGAGTATCTAAACCGTCATTTTATCACTAAGGACATGGGAAAGCCAAAGTATTTTCTTGGGATTGAAGTTGCATATCAAAAACATGGCCTGTTGTTGTCCCAAAGGAAGCATGTGCTAGATTTACTAGAAGAAGCAGGTCTCTTGGAATGCAAACCTGCAAGCACTCCAATGGAGGCAAATGTTGATTTGTGGCGTGATGATACCTCTCTCCTAGATGATGCTGGACGATATAGGAGACTAATTGGGAAGCTAATATATTTGACAGTTATCAGACCTGATATTACTTTTGCAGTAGGTGTACTGAGCAGGTTTATGCACAAACCTAGAGAGGTTCATTGGACAGCAGCTCTGAAGATTTTGGCATATGTCAAGAGTTGTCCTGATAATGGATTGTTATATAAGAAGCATGGGCATACTCACATTTCGGCTTTCTCTGATGCTGGCTACGCAGGAGACATGGGAGACCGGAAGTCAACATCAGGATTTTGTACTTTTGTTGGAGGTAATCTTGTGACTTGGAGAAACAAGAAACAAGATGTAGTATCACGATCTAGTGCAGAGGCCGAATATAGAGCAATGGCTCACACTGCTTGTGAGATGATGTGACTAAGAAAGTTTATGACAGAGCTTGATTTTGTTCAGCCTGAACCCATGCCAATACATTGTGACAACCAGTCTGTCATTTATATTGCACAGAATCCTGTGTTTCATGAAAAGACAAAACATATTGTAGTTGACTGCAATTTTGTTAGAGATGCTTGGGAGAAGAAGATAGTATCTCTCATATTCACTCCGTCCTCACAACAACTTGCTGATATTCTTACCAAGGTTACTTCTTCAAAGGTGTTCTCTACTATATGTGACAAGCTAGGCATGGTAGACATCTACTCCAGCTTGAGGGGGAGTGTTAAGTTAAGTATTGGGTATTGGGTTAATGGGCTGTTACTTGTTAACCTTAACCCTATTTGTATGGCTATATATATCTCTTTTGTTATTCTCAATAAACAACAATTAGGGCTTTCTCTATTCACTACAAAAGTAAAATAGTTTAGGGATGTCGAAACAAAACTCTTAACTTTTGTGCTCACATTCAAACTATCTTAACTTTTGAATGGAATTAAATGATGAAACACCTCCTTCGACACATGAAGCCTGTTATACGCAAAATCACTTGTAAATAACACTGAACTTCACTTATACAGCAGGTGGATTAACTGAACTAGTTAGTTTAAGGGTCCCATTTATTTTGCATGGAATTGTTGATATTCATCCATTTAATTCTCTTTAAAGAACTCTGTTCATCTTCACACACACTGTATTCTTAACCATACATATCATCGTGTTGGTGTAATACTCATAATCATCCAGAATTCAAATAACAAAAAAAAAGGAATTCAAAAATCTAAAATCAACACACAACTAGCTAAAAAGTTGGGATTCGCTGATTGCGACCATCAAAGAAAAAATTATTTACAAAAGACTTACAAGAACAAAGACCTTACAAGAACAAAGACCTTACAGCTCTAGGATTAAGTTGAGGAATGACTGTAGCTTAAGAAACGGTCCCAAATCAGTTTTACTGACTCTTGAACCATATCGTTGATACAGTCCAGCTCCACATTCCCATCCTGCGACAGAATGAAGAAAGATGCTTGTCAAAGAGATGCTCAAAAAAGAATACACGTCAAACAGTTTTCAAGCAACCTAATGATAATGCGAGTGACTGCATGATTGTCAGTACTTTTTTCTATAAAACAAAGAAATCAACAAGAATTATGAAGATAACATCATGACATTTTTTTATTACTTCTAATGAAGTTCTCTTAGTCCTACCTGTAGTCTCCCTTGGACCATTAACTATAATCTTATCACTTCTTCTAATTTGGGTAAATAATGACCTCCATTATACATAGTCAGTACCTCAATAAGAATAGCCCCTAACATTCTATAAACTATACTCATTTCTTACCTCTTATTGTGTACCCACATGTCCACTGTAACATTCTCCTTTTGTTACCATCTATGCGAAACCACAGTTAGATATCTGAGTTACACTTATTTCTTTGCTAGCAGCTTCTATGTAAATTATAGGCCAGATATATACACTATATGTCCACACTTGATCAAGAGGTGGTGTTCATTCTCCTTTTTTTGTGGGGTGGGGGTGGTGGTGGGGGTGGGGGTGGAAAGATTTACTAAAATACACGTCTTAAGAAGGAATTTGAATCATACACAATCCAAAATCCCTAAGTATAGAACGCACTCGGTAAATAACCATAGACAATATGCTTACTACTACAATTATCAATGTCTGCACCAATAACATGAGCATAACCATAACTAAAGCCAAGCCTTCTTAAATAAACGTAGTTTGTGTTTTAAAGCGCAACTAATTACGTAAGGTACTATCATAGAATTGACATAATCTTAAATCATGCAGATACTTGACAAGTCGGAAGCACAAAAAAGAATGATCTAAAAAAGTTAACTAAAGATATAATAGTAGAAAATGAGTGCATGGTATCTTTTAATTGTCTAAACTACCGATTGCAAACCAACTCACCCTCAAGTGCTTGGATATTCCGATCAGCTTCAGCATAACTTCATTAGAAGCTTCACCAGTTGAAGTCCTGTGATCAAATCGATCAGCATGTCTCAGTTTAATCCTTGTTGACTGATTTTTGAAAGCTTTGAATTTGGTGTGCCAAACTCCAATGATACAAAACCTATCTGCTACACTTTCCTCTCCAAGAGGCCATCTCAGTCCCCCTTTCACATCAGGATCTATTATAGCAGACTTTACTAGTTTATTTATGGCCTCATTCTCCTCATCCTGAAACAAATTAGTAGCTGTCAGGTACGATACTTTCCATAAATATGACACTGATAACAGTTGCACCTCATGCAATCAGAAACTTACATCCAATGATTTCAGTATCCTTTTGGTAGCCAGCATCAACCTTAAGTCTAGATCCTTAAAGAGGCAAGAAATATCAACCACAAGGTGGCGCACCTGATTCAGTTCAATCTGCATAACAAGAAAGAAAACCTGTTTTACCAATCATATGACAAGTATACTCTTCTTCAGCCCTAGTCTCAAGAGAAGGATAGCTATATGACAAAAGAATGAAATATAAATTGTATACAGAATAGCACAAACTTCAGTGTACAAGGTGGCAAAGATTTCACTTTATTGCAAAATAGCATAAGCTGCAAAGGAATAGCAAAACCTGCATATATTAAGCTTTAAGAAAAGTTTCATTGCTATGCTTCAAAACAAGCAAAATCAGAGCTCCATTGTAAATTTCTTAAAATATTGCACCAAACATTGTGCCTGAGGAAAAGTTCACACTTCACAGTATAGCTTTCAATACTGGTCTTTATCCATTGGGCAATACCATGGGCCCTATATCAGTTTCGCTACAATCAATATATCATTTTGTATAACTCTGGATATCATGAATTACTAATTTACTATCCGATAATTAGTGCCAATACATACTCGTATAAACAAAGGAAACATAGTTTAAGAGGGACTGTTCCACGGCGGTATAATGTCAATTGGCATGAAAAAAAATACACAACAATAGAAAGTCAGAGATCTTGCCTTACGAATTTCAAGTGCCCCATCATTCACGACTGCACACTTGCAAGAAATGGTTGATTCTGGCTGGAATTTGTCAAATATCTGGCCAACAAATCAGAACATAAATCAAACAGGTAAGCCAAATTTTTAAGGAACATTCTGCAATTCCACAAAGCTGTACAAGACTTTTAAAAAGAAATGTTTTAATGAAATTAAGCCCCTCGTTACATTACCTTCACATTGTAATATTCTTTCTCTGAGTCGAAATCAAAACCACTGTCACCTGATAGCATATTCTGCATATCTTCCATGTAATCACTAGGAACATTAGTGTAAAATGATTTACGGACTTGTGTTCTAGAATCTATTTCAGAAACTGCAGCCTTCCTGATGGATTCAAGATTAACTGATGTTCTGCAGGAAATAAAGAGATCAGTTTGAACTTCATAAGCCACGTAACTGGACTTTTATAGTGTCACTTTCACAATATTTAGTTAGCCAATTATATTATATTTTACTTTTATGCAGTGGTGAAGCCACATGGGTACCAACGGGCCTTGGACCTCCCTTGTAAATTTAAATTTACAAGAGAAGGGATAATTGGTTTATATGTAAGACCGATGGCTTACCCTAAAAAGATGTGAATGTGAAAGATCCTAGGAAATAGCCTACAAATGTAAATACATAAGATTATAGCCTTATAGGGGAGGTTCTAAGTTTGAGAGTTTTACTTTTCAATTTGTTGTTTGCAAAGTTATCTTCTATTCTTTTTTCTATCGAGTTTTGAGATTTATTCTTTGTTTTTGACACTTGATGCTATTAGATTTCTCACTTTTATAAAAAAAAATTATTGGTCTTTTTAGAACATGTTCAATGAACTAACTGATCTTTAACATCATGTGACCAAAATTTGAATCAAAATCCGATCCTTATTCCTCATGGAATGTTTATTGAGAAATTTGTCAGAGAAACACTAGGATGCAGATAACTATAATGTGGATGTACAAATATATAATATATTTTTATGCGGATAATTTTGATGTGGATAATTTTTATACAAATAATTCTTATTGGGACTACCGGTAATATTATAGCTACTTTTTACTTAGTTGTGTTAACTTAGCATGATACGGGTGTATCATCTCTCTGCTTCGGGAGCTTAGCGATCCTCATGAGAGCTTGAGGATAGATGATTCTCATAGTAGAGTGAGAATAGAGACATGGATGGAGCCGTTGGTGGCGGCGAAAGAGGTCAAAAGCAGGAAAAAAGAAAAAATCAGGAAATGGTACAGACTCTGGTCGGTCGACCGGTCGGTTGATACCGGTCGACCGACAAGGCCATATCGGTCAACCGACCGACCAATGTCGGTCAATCGAAAGCGTGCCCGATTACAGGGTTGAAAACCTTGTCTTTGTCCAGTCGACCGACAAGAGCATGTCGGTCGACCGATGGGGCTTACTGGGCGAATCTGGACTCTTGTTTGACGCGTATTCCAAATTGAGTTGGGCTTTGTTATTTACGTTTTTGTCATCCACGTTGTTTGACAAATAAATAGGGATTGTTTAGGGTTTCTAAACATCAGATGTGATTAAAAAGAGAATAGAGAGGTTGTTCTTTATTCTAGTGAGATTGTGAGGAAGAAATTTTGTAATCTTTTAAATTCTTCATAATCTAGAGAATGTATTTTCCTTCGCCAATTGAACTGTTTTGTGTGACTTTATTGTTTTCTTCTCAACCCTACATTTGATAATTTCGCGATCAAAGGTGCTCACACGACGACTCGTATCAAGTTGGTATCAAAGCTATCAAGTCCTGTGAAGGGGCAATCCTGTGCATGGTCCTTACTCGATCTCAATACAAGAAGTTAGGTGAGATTCTTGTTTCTTTGGAAGAAGTTCAAAAATCAAGGAAAAAAAAGATGACAGAAAATGACAATTCAACAAGGCTTGATGTGTTGGAGAAACAAATTGAAACAATCAGGTCGACTCTCACACAACTCGTCGATCTTATTCATGGAGGGAACAAAAAGGGCAAGAAGAACCCTGTAGAGTCCAGTAGAGAGAGTGAAAATTCAGATTCCAATGAGGAAGTCGAGACCTTCAAGACCGCTTCACATCACGGGGGTAAAAGTCCTTACCAGAACCTGAAGATTGATTTCAGAATAGAGATTCATATTTATGATGGGAGTGTTAATGTCGAGAGACTTAATGATTAGATCGAGCGTATGGATACCTACTTCACTCTTTATGGCTATTAGTCAAAAGAGAAGATTGTTTTTACAGTATTGAAGCTATCCGGACATGCATTGACGTAGTTAAAATCTTACTGTAAGCAGGAGAAGAAAACGGTGTCGTGGAATAAGTTTAAAGAGCTACTGAGAAAGCAGTTCTACCCGGGGGTTTCCTTGAAGAGCGTTGGTACAAGTGGTGCGACTTGCATAAGAGGTTCAATCAGACCGTTTAAGAATACACCACGGAGTTCTAGCAGCAGGCGATGATCTTTAACATTGTAACGGATGAGTACTCTATTTTTATGAAGTATATGGTAGGTCTGAACGAATATATCCGAAAGGAGATGAAGTTGTTCACGGTTGAGTCGATTATAGAGGCGAACGTGAAGGCTATTACCATTGAGGGCAAGCAGAAGAAAGACAACGAGACAAAAGAGAATCCAAACAAGCGGGAGGTAAGTTTAGTGGCTCCCAATCTAAGGAGGAGAAATAGAAGGGCGACCCAGGGAAGGCAAGTTTGACTTGTAATCACTGCAAGCAGACAGGGCACGTAGCTGATCGAAGCTGGGAGAAGTATCCTCATCTGAAGCCAAAGAAGTTGAAGGAGGAGAAAAATGCATACATGATAGCACAGGGTCCGAAGGAAGTCCCCAGGATGACAGAGCCCAACAGCAATCTCAATCTTATGATAGGGAAGCAGGCCGCGAAGGAAGACGAAAATCTCAAGGAGCAGCTCTTTGTTCTTAAGTTGCAGGTGAAGACTAGCTTGGTTAATGTCATCGTTGATCCAGAGAGCCAGAAGAATTTGATATCCGAGGTCTTGGTTCAGAAACTGGGTCTGAAAACGGTCAAACATCCAAAGCCCTATCCTTTATGGTGGATTCAGAAGGAGTCAGGGTTGAGTTTGATCAATCAATGCACTTTTAAATTTGCACTTCACGAGTCATATATTAATAAGGTCACGTGTGACGTCGTTCCATTAGATGTTTGTCAGGTTATACTGGGTAATCCTTATTTGTGAGATAGGTACGCGGTCTACGATAGACGAGCTCAGAAGTATATGTTCACTAAGGATGGCGAGCAGTTCATATTTCGTTTGACATCTCTTCCGCAAGAGACGAGTTTGGTGACGGTGATTCAGGCAAAAAGACTAGTGAATGCAAGCAAGAAGTTTATTTTATTGTTCATTAGGTCTTATGAGGAGCAGCTGAGTAGAGTATGCTTAACTACCTTGAGCAAGCTTCAAGAGATAGATCTTGACAGGTTGAAGGCCAATTATGCAGATTTGTTTTCGGAGATCACTGGACTACTGCCAAGACGGAGTATGGAGCATAAGATCATGTTGACAGGAGAGAGCTCTTTACCGAATATAGACCTCTACCGCACATCGGTACAAGAGTTCGAGGAGATCAAGAAGCAAGTTCAGGAGCTTCTGAAGACGGGAATGATAGTGCCTAGTTGTTCACCTTATGAGTCGCCAGTGTTGGTGCCCAAAAATGATGGAGGCTGATGCATGTGCGTGGATTACCGAACGCTCAACAAGATAACGGTCAAGAATCGTTATCTACTACCACGGATCGATGATCTTATGGACTAGTTAAAAAGGGCGAGGTTTATCACGAAGTTAGATCTGAAGTGTGGTTATCATCAGGTGAAAATTCGGAAGGATGACACTTGAAAGACTGCCTTCAAGACCAAACAAGGTCTGTTCGAGTGGTTGATGATACCGTTTGGGTTGTGCAACGCTCTAACGATCTTTATGAGGCTCATGCATGATTTGTTGTGATCTTTTATAGAGGATTTTGTGATAGTTTATCTCGATAATATATTAGTGTACAACAAGACCTGAGAGGAGCATCTTGTTTATGTAGAGAAGGTGTTTGAAGTATTGCAGAACGGACAGCTGAAGCTCAACAGGAAGAAGTACGAATTTGGAAAGGATGAGTTGGTGTATCTCGACTTCATTGTGGGGAAAGACCAGCGGTTAGATCCAAACAAGGTGACGATGATCACGAAGTGACCCTTGCCTAGGACAATAACGGAATGTGAGAAGCTTCATGGGGACTTGTCAATATTTGCGTAAGTTCATTCGATATTTTTCTACTTATGTGACACCTTTGCATGGCCTTACGAAAGCGAAGGTTCAGTTTGAGTGGGGGCGAACGCATGAGACTTTTCAGTTACTGAAGAGAAAGATCTTGGAGGCACCAGTGTTAGCGTTATCGTACTTGCAGAGGACATTCGAGGTAGAGACCAACGCTTCTAGTTATGCTATGGGCGTCGTGTTGATACAGGATGGGAAGCCGGTAGAATACTATTCTGAGATATTCACGTGTTATTCAGAACTACCTGACTTACGATAAGAAATTTTATGCACTTTATTAGGCGATCAAGCATTAAAGGATGTATTTGTTGGGTATGGAGGTGATTGTGCACTCAGATCATAAGCCATTGAGGTTTTTACATGCCCAGACGAGACTATAGCAGGCACGACACATGAAGTGGATGTCCTATTTGATGGCATTCAACATCTTCATTAAGTACAAGAAAAGGGCGACGAACAAGTTGGTTGATATGTTATCTCGACCGCCAGTTAGAGCTTTATTGGTGATGACGCGTATTCAGTCCTTGGTTCCTTTGGAGTATGTGCAGATGTACACATCCAACAGAGACTTCAATAATGTGTTCGAGCAGGTAAAGGCTGGTCGAAGGGGGGAGTATGAGCTCGGAGCCAATGGTTTGTTATATCATAGGACATCGCTTTGCATTCCGGAGGATGGTGATAGGTTATAGTGGATTAGAGAAGCACATACATCACGTGTGCAAGGTCATTTTAAGATTCAGAAGACGCTTGTCAATCTACGACGCCATGTCTTTTGGCCGAAGATGTTAGAGGATGTTACCAAGTATGTTGTAGGGTGTAAACAATATTACATATCGAAGCCTTCTAACAGAAAGAGGTGATTGTATTTACCGTTATCAGTGCCTTCTAGATTGTAGAAGAGTATTTCTATGGATTTCTTAGGTGGATTGCCAACAACCAAACGCGGACATGATTACCTGTTCGTTGTGGTGGACCGATTTAGCAAGATGATGATCTTGATTCATTGTAAGAAGGTCGTGACGGAAGCGGGTGCAATACAGTTGTTCTTTAAGCATGTGTGGAAGTACTTTGGGTTGTCGAGTTCGATTATTTCGGATTGGGATAGCTGGTTTCTCGGGCACTTTTGGGATTCTTTGTAGAGTTTGATGGACACTAAATTAAAGAAGAGCACGGTCTTTCATCCACAAACAGACGAACAAACAGAAATAGTCAACCGGACTATGATTCAAATGTTGCGGGGGTATAATTCCAGACATCCCAAGACTTAGGATGAGAGCTGACCATACATTCAGTTTGCTTTCAACATGGCTATTCATGGATCTTAGGAAAAGTCACCGTTTGAGACGTGTTATGGGCTTTTACCTCTAAGTCCGTTTAACTTAGTATTCTCTAGTGAAGCTAGGCTGACGGTAAAGAAAGCGAACGACAACGAGCTTAATGATTTCTAGCAAAGATTGTACAGATTCATGCTACGGTTGAAGCTCAGTTGAATAAGTCACAAGCAAAGTATAAAACAAAACATGATCAACATCGAGTTCCTTGTAATTTAGACAAATGTGACATAGTGTGTCTGAAGTTAAGTAAGAAGCTGTTAAATAGAGAAGGGAAGAAGTTGAAGCCTATACAATATGGTTCGTTTTGAATTCTTGATCAGATCGATGACAACGTCTTCAAGCTGGATTTGCCATCTTACTTAGGCATGTATTCAGTGATCAATGCCAAGTATCTAAAGTTGTTTGAGTCTCCATTGTTGGACGATGAAGGTGACGACAAAGTGATCTTGCCACATGTTGAAGACTTATGATTCGATAAAGAAGAGCCATTGAAAGAGGATTGTATTTTTGAACGCAAGGTGACTATGACTAGACGGGGGATGAAGGAATAGTTTATGGTTGGACGTCAAGATCAGGTTCCTAGCAAGACCATGTGGTTCAACAAAGAAAGAGGGGCTCGAGAGTTCCCTCAGCTAAAGTTCTAACTTGAATAGGACTTCAAGTTCCTAAAGGGAGAAGCCATGATACAGGTGTATATTCTCTCTGCTTCAGGAGTTTAACGATCCTCATGGGAGCTTGAGGATAGATGATTATCATGGTAGAATGAGAATAGAGACGTGGATGGAGCCGTTGGTGGCGGCGAAAGAGGTCAAAAGCAGGAAAACAGAAGAAATCACAAAATGATAGACAGACTCTGGTCGGTAGACCGGTTAGTTGACACCGTTCGACCGACCGACTAATGTCAGTCGACCGAATGGTCGGTCGATCGACCGAAAGCGTGCCCGATTACAGGTTGAAAACCTTGTCTCTGTCCAGTCGACCGACAAGGGCATATGTCAGTCGACCGATGGGACTTCTTACGCGAATCTGGACTCTTGTTTGATGCGTATTCCAAATTGAGTTGGGCTTGATTATTTACGTTTTTGTCATTCACGTTGTTTGACAAATAATAGGGATTGATTAGGGTTTCTAAACATCAGATGGGATTAAAAAGAAAATAGAGAGGTTGTTCTTTATGCTAGTGAGATTGTGAGGGAGAGATTTTGTAATCTTTTAAATTCTCCATAATCTAGAGAATGTGTTTTCCTTCGCCAATTGAACTGTGTTGTGTGACTTTACTGTTTTCTTCTCAACCACACCTTTAATAATTCCGCGATCAAAGGTGCTCACACGGTGACTCGTATCATAGCATATTATAACTTCATGAAAGGTTGGTACTTACTTGGAGTTCTAGTTATGTGATGATTTTTAGATGCTAATCAATCGTGCAAAAAAACATTATTGTGTTTAATTATTAAAAAAACCTCGCCCCCCCTTGCTAACTTTCCTGCTCCATCACTGCTTTTATGTCACGGTTGTTTCAACCGGAGTTTGAATCCTATATTTCTACCACAACACTGCCCAGGTTTTGAAGACAAAAGAAAATATATGGAAGTAATATTTAGATAAACCATACCAAGTAGATCCAAAAAGATATTGCTGTTTACAGAGAATTTCTGTAAGCTATACTGAACTAGAATTCCGGATAAAGATACTTTTGATGCACTTCGAAGTGTACATGTTAGGGAAGGATCCCTTTATAAAGCAAGTTCATAACCTTATACTGTCCTCTAATATATTTTCCCATGAACCTCCCTTAAGTTCATAACCTTATACTGAACATGCACCCACCTACCAAGCTGATTAAAGAGAGTGATCATGGAAACAGCCAAGTTGTGTACAACAATATCAGCATCTAAGCCAAAGGTTGCAATTTTTCCTTATGAACGGGCAATTATGCGCTACAAGAAATTTAAAATGCTGGGGTTTCCGACGTAATTACCCAAGAAACAGCACTTTCCCGGTTCGAGCAACAAACGTAAGCTTGACTACCTCCCTCTTCGATACTGACCCCTCCACCGCAGCCCGACAACAACCGATCAAATCGGGCATAACTCTCTCCGAAATATTCGCCCAAGGCCGCTCCTCAACCACTCCACCCTCTCCTGCTTCGATAACCGTCGCCTTCCCGCCATTCCTCCACTCGAACGGCTCCCAAATCGCAACCGAAGAAGGGATGGGATCATCGCCGGCGGATCCAGCGACGAACCATCGAGCGATCGAATCGGCCGCGTAGATGATTTTGAGGCCTTGATTTGAGGAGGATTGGTGATCTCGGCGCCTTCGGGAGTTGGGCTTGGGATCACTTAGGGTTAGGGTTCGCTTAGATTGGGGGAGCACGGAGGGAGGGAGTGGAGAGGGGTCCGGAGTTGGAGAATCCTTGGAGTAGCGCTTGTGAGGAGGAACGTACGCCATTGTAGCTTGAAACCCTAAGCTTTTGACATTAGATTTTCAGGGGTGGTGTTGATGGGGACTTTTTAGGGTTTAGAAAAAGCCCTACCGTCGCTTGGTTGAGATCAGCAGAAGAGCGAGCACGACGATCTGTTTACTTTCAGCGCGGTAAGAAGCAATGAAGCATAATGGCCTGTTTGGATGGAGGGTAGAGAGGGGGAAGGGAAGGGAAATTTCATTTTAACCTTGTTTGGGAGTTTCATTTTGGAGGGTAGAAGAGGGGAATGGAGGGGAAATTTGGCCCAAATTCTTACACCCCAAATTGGGGTGTAATGGAGGGGAAGGGAAGGAAGGGGAAAAATTCCCCTTCCTTCCCCTTCCTTCCCTTCCCTAAGTAAACTCCCAAACACACCATAAGGGTCTGTTTGGATTCGTAGGGGGGTGAAGGGAAGCTATGACAAACTGAGTGAAAGGAAGGGAAGAGAAAAGAAGGGAAGGGAAGGGAATTCCCTTCTTCTTAGTTACATCCTAATTTGGGGGGTAACAATTTTTATACTATTAGGAGGTGAACCAAGGTGAATGGAGGTGAATTAACTTCACCTCCTAAGTGTTTCCAAATAAGATGAATGGAGGTGAATGGTTCCCCTAACTTCCCTTCACCCTTATTCCCCTCAATCCAAACAAGCCCTAAGACTGCTTTTTTTTCCCCAAACCTTTTTTCCCCCTTTGGCTAATAAATAGCACTTAAATACCGTATTCAGCGTGGAAAATTTTTCAAAATAGACCGATTTTACTAAATATTTAGCAAAATTGACCTCTTTTTTGCCAACAGGTCAAAAAAAATTGATTTTTAAAAACGCCCACTTGAAAACATACGGGACTACTAGTCCCGTATATTTTCAAAAGGCACTACCAGAAAACATACGGGACTACTAGTCCCGTATGTTTTCTGGGAAGTGTTTTTTAAAATCAACCTCTTTTTGGCCTATTGGCGAAAAAGAGCTCGATTTTGCTAAATATTTAGGAAAATAGTCGATTTTGCTAAATATTTAGCAAAATCGGTCTATTTTAAAAAACAAAATTCCATTCAGCGTCTTCGCACTCTATAGGCTCTCTTGTTTTGCTTAAAAATTATACTTTTGTACTCTCTATCTGTGCAGATGCGAAAACTTTTCCACATATTTTCGCATGACGCGTAGAATCAAGTGCCAATTTTAAACAACTTAGTAAAAAGTATGTAAGAGTACACAAATGCAAAGTGACTAAGACTGTAAGGTATTTAAGCACAATTTTAGTCTTTTTTCTATGTTCTTATTTTTTTCATAGACCACCTTTAAAACAAGGTCATTGTATAGAAACCTTCTTTTATTTTTAATTTATACGCAAACCATCTTTAAAATATTTTTTCGTAGCAATCAACCACTCGGGCTCACTTTTCAGTTAAGTATTTTTGGTAATTGACCCTATCTAACACCAACTAAGGATCCTCCCTCTAGTATATTTGGTATTTGACTACTAAATTATTACAGTAAAACTGGAAGAAAAAAAACTTGACCTAAAAGTGCGCTCAGGTCATTGGTTGCAATAAAATTCACTTTAAATGTGGTTTATGCATAAATTGAAAATGAAAGGTGGTTTTCATAGAATGATTTTAAAGGTGGTTTCTATGGGGGGAAAAACCTTTTTTCTATTGGGTTATTTAGATATCAGTCCCTCACGTCTTCAATAACTCGATATTAGTCATTCAAGTTTTAAAAAAAATAGCTCATGCATCGTCAAATTTTAAGAGGTCTTGCAACTTGGTTCATTTGTTGGTTTTTCAGTTAGATATTGAAACCATTGGTTTATCTTTTAGGACAACACTCTCAATTATCAAAATACCCCTCAAAAACATTTGACAAGCTAAGATATGCTTTGAGGGGATATTCCCCTCAAACCTAACATGAGTAACTTAGATTACTCTGTTTAGGATATTTAAGAGACATATGAAATTATTGAAGATATGAGGGATTGGTATCTAAGTAACTTTTTTATGGATATACATATATGTATATATGTGTGTGTATAGGTCCCTTAAATCATTGAGATTACTAAGTGGGTTACTTTTACATTATAATTTGATACTAGTCCCTCAAGGCCTCAAATAATTTTTTTATGGATATCGAAATAACTTTTTTTTATGGATATATGATTTGATACTAGTCCCTCAAGGCCTAAAATCATTGAAATTACTAAGAGGATTACATTACAGTAGGGCTGTCCATCCGGGCCGAGCAAAACCGAAGCCCGGACCCAGCCCCGGGCCTGAGCGGGCCGGGCTCACCGGTTTTTTTTGTTTTTTTATTATTTTTTCTAATTTTTTAAAATTTTTAAAAATCCCCATAAATCATAAAATATACATAAAAATTACAGAAAATGATATAAATTTTTTAACTACCTTGTAATGACACAAATTACAAGTAAAAAATTTATAAAAATGAAAGATGATAAAAATAACTTCATTATTAATAATCAGTAAATCATTTATAAGTATAAATTTATTTTAGAATTTGTCGCATCACAATAGATGAGTACATCCTAACTAGGTTGGCACATACTCACCTATATCACTATCATTTGCAACTTTTTACGAAATAATTCATTACAAATTTAAAGCTAAGAAAGAAAAATTACAATTTGATGAATATTATCTAATCTTTATACCTATTTGCTAGTCCCAACTCTTCAAATTTATCTTCAATACTAGCGATCCGATCGATGCCTTGCGTTCGCTTCTCGTACATCCACCAATCTTGTAAGCACATCACCGTTGGTACAGTATACGGATCTAAGCATGTCCTGTGGTTGTCGATCAAACGTCCTGTTGTGCTAAAGACGGATTCCAAAGCTACCGTCAAAACCTGTACTGTTAGTAAGTCACGAACCATGGTGGAAAGTATAGAATATGAAACCGATCCATATACTCTCCACCATTATAAAATATCTAAAACATTTCCTTAACATTTAACTAAGAAAGCAGATAAATATTCATATATTTCAGAAACCTCTAATGCTGATCCAAGTCCAAATCCATCAGTTAGTTCAGCTACCATTGCATACCTATCAAAACTTACACTTTTACCTCGGCCTGTGCTCGAAGGCGCCAAAGCTGTAGACTGTTGTGCAGCTACACCATGTCTACTTGCATACTCATCATATAATGTTTGAAAATAATTTTTAATAGATAAATGATGAGAAGTAGCAGTAAGGATCGATCTATCATCTAAGTCTATAATCTGTCCACCATATAATGATTGTAATAAACTTCGAAGGCTAATATTCTTCAAACATGGATCAATAAGAATCCTTAAACCAAAAATATGAGGAATAGATGTAAAATACTTATTAAATTTGCTTTCTATTTGAAAAATTATAGATCCAAAAGTATCATCCATACGATATTTTGAAAAAAAACTTTTGAATATTTAAAATTTGTAAAGCAGCTAAAGTAATTGTTAGATAATAACATTGTAGCATCACAAAAGACTTATAACATCTTATTTAAATTACATATACTTATCCATTCATCTTTAGTTATTCCATAACTACTACCAGAAATAAAACTAGAAGCATAAAAATTCATAAAATCCTTTATAATTTTTTTATATTCTATTGCTACACTTAACATTGCATAGGTGGAATTCCACCTATGGTCAACATCTTTTGGAATTAGCATGGGCTTATAATTTTTTTTGCAACATTGTTTCTATCTTTTAATTCTTATTTCAGAAGCATTATGTATGTTAGCAATAGTTCTAACTTTTTCTATCATGGGTTTAATTTTAGAAAATATACTTTGAACAATTAAATTTAAAATATAACAGATACATCTAATATGAAAAAGTTCACCATGATATGACAATGACAAAGTTGTTTTGATAAAATCAACAACTACATTATTATTACTTGCATTATCTAGGGAAAGTTTTGATCAATTTCTAGTTTCATAAGTTCTTCAATTATTAAATTTGCAGCATTAATACCAGTATGTGACTCTTCAATTGCAATAAAAGAAACAACTCTTTTAAATATTTGCCAATTTTTATTAATCCAGTGTGTTGTGATACATAAATAACCAGTTTGCACTCTAGATGTCCAAATATCAGAAGTTAAAGAAAATTTACAGTTTAAATTTTTTAAATAAGAAATTATTTTTCCTTGTTCCTCCTGATAATATTTTAAAATATCACGTTGATAGGTTTGACGAGAAAATTTGGTAAATGCAGGATAAAAACTATCTCTAAACAAATCTTCAAATTTATCATATTCTACTAATCTAAAAAGAAGGTTTTTAAGAACGATAAACCTGATTACGCATTTCCTGGCTCGAGCAGCGTCATAACTCCAACTACCGAGACTACCAGAGGAGGAAGATTGAGAAATCATAGCTTGCCGGATATCACCTTGAAGATTCTGGCATTTGTTGTGTTTTTCAATATGGCGTTTGAGGTGGTTGGTGCAGCTCTTATGATGAGCTTGGAAAATCTGGCCGCACAACGTACATTTAGCCTTCTGGGTGATGATCCTACCGTGTTCATCCTTGGTGACGTCTATCTTCTTAAAAAAATTCCACACATCGGATCTCGGCCTTTTAGGAGCTCTTGGTGCAGATTCGTCGCCACCAGATTCAGGATTAACACCGGTAGGAGGAGTAGTTGCTATAGGAGGACTTATTTTTGGATCAGTAGGAGATAGATTTTGCTCTTCATATTCAGATCCAGAAGCCATTTGATGGAAGTATTAGAAGATCAGTAGGAGATAGATTTTGCTCTTCATATTCAGATCCAGAAGCCATTTGATGGAAGTATTAGAAAACATAAGAGATTATAAGAGAGTATAATATTGTATAAAAGAGTATTAGAGAGAAGTAGAAGAGCTTTGGTGTGAAGAGAAGAAGTGAAAACCCTCCTTTATTTATAGAGGCAGCCCCTAGGCAAAATGACCAAAAAACCCTCACATTTGATTATTTTTTTATCGTTGTTGGGGGCAAAATGGTCAAAACCCCAATATGACCGTTATGGTCGGGCCAGCCCGGCCAAAACAGCCCAACGGTCACCTTAGGTGACCGTTGGGACCGGGGCGGCCCGGCCCAGCCGTTTACCACAAACGGTCACTTTTTGGTGACCGTTTCATCCGGGCCGGTCCCGGGCTTGGGCAGCCCGGCCCGGATCTCGTGCCCGGCACTGTTCCGGACCGAGCCCGGGTCTGGACTAGTTTCTGAAAAACCGACCCAGGCCCGGGCCCGATCCCTGACCCGGGTCTGGCCTGGGCATCCGGGCAAAACTGAGCTCTCCTTCCCCACTTTGAAGTCCTCGGATACGCAACTGTAT